AAAAAAAAAAAAAAAAAAAAAGAGGGAAGCTAACGAACTATCCAAGAAGGTATTTGAACCTCATGAATCTTGGTAGATTCTGAAATGATCTGCCCATGCATATTCAAGTATCCGCGTTTCAATTTTCTTTGAGTCATAGAGCTGGGGTCTGAGTACAATGGATAAGAATGACTTGGGTTCCCAGTGCAATCAAATAGAGATGAGGGAGGACAAGCACACTACTTGGTAGTTTAATCTAGACTGGTTGCAGAGGGTCACCAAGAACCCATTACTGGCCTTGGACCTGGGAAGGGGACATTTTATTTCATTGCACTATCTTGCACCTTGAAGCTAGCCACAGGATCTATCTTCATGTTGAGACTCAGCCCAGGAAGTGGGAGAGCCCAGGACCTCACTGACAGATCCAAATTCAATTGGATTCAAGATCCGCCTCTGCTTCTTAGCTGCTGTGTGACATCAGGGAAGTTACCTGTCCTCTCTGAAACCTGTTCTTCCACCATGAAATGGGGCCATAACTCAAGCTGCAAAGCAGAGTGGACAGGTGACACTGGCAACCAATATCTACTTATTAAGTAAATAAATGGAAGAGCTTTGCATTTTGCAAATTGCTCTAGATAAGGTTATTGCTATTTAAGAAGTCACCATCACTATTCTGATCCTCTGTCCAAAGATTTGGGTTTGAATTTTGGCTCTAATACCTTCCGGTTTTATCTGTGGACCTTCCTGTTATGTTCTATCTTAGTCTCAGTTTCCTCATCTGTAAAATGGCAACAATAAACATGTCTACTGTGCAAGGTTGTGGTGAGGATTAATGAGAATTAAATACATCTACACCTGGAAGGGGTTTCACTCAGGATCCAGTTTGGAGTGAGGACCCCATAGTCCTCACTCTTTTTTGTGTGTGTGTTCACCCAGTGTGTCCGGTATACCAGGACTTAGCCCCTGTTCCTTGGCCAGATCTGAGAAGGTTTTGGTGGGGTGACAGGGCTGATGTTTCCCTATGTGCCCCAATTCAAGATTCCAACCAGTGGCAGGGGTGACGAGACATTCTGGGGTCAAGACCTCAACAGGGCTGGTCCACATGGCCTGATGGAACTCAAAAGCTGGCTTGGAATGCTGATGAAAACAGCTCAAACCTTCATTTTAGAGGAAACTGAGGGCCCAGGAAGATGAAGGGGCCATGACCAAGAGCACAGATGGAAACTGAGGGCTGACCTAGAAGCTGCCCAAAGGTGGCTGAGAAAGCAGGAAGTTGAACAGGCAGGCAGAGACAACAGGAGTCTTACCTGTGCCTTCTCTTCTTGGAGAATGACCTGAAAAAAGAAAAGAAAGAAAAAAAGGAATGAAAAAAAGGCAGAGAGAGAGAGGGAGGGAGAGAGATGGAAAGAGGGAGAGAAGGAGAGAAAGGAAGGAAGAAAGGGAGGGAGGGAGGGAGGGGAGAAGATAAATATAGGTGAGTCTGAAAGATTTTTTTCCAGGTATGATGGTATCAGTGTGTTTGTGATCATGCTACAGGTGGCCAGGACCCCTAGCTAATCGTCCTCCTCTCTTAGATTCCAGAGAATATGAAAATTATCTGGGAGATACTGGTTTGTATTCTGAATTTCCAGATCAAAGCCTCCCAGTGCTTCAGTTCTCCCCCAGAACTGTCAGTTAATCTGTCCTAATGAGGAGGACGAAAGAGAGAGTCTTCTGCCTTTCCCCCCGCTCCATTCTCCATCTCACCGTCTCTCTCCCTTGTTGTGGATTCCCCCTCCTCATGCTCCTACCCCTCCTCCTCCTCCTCCTCCTCATCATCATCGCTGTCGTCATCATGAGACAGCCTGCTTCCACATGTGGAACTCTAACCGTGTGCCAGGCTCTGCACTTAGCACCTGTCACACACAATCTCATTCACTCTTCCCCAAGTCCTGTGGAGTACTACTGACAACTATTTCACAAAGACATGAAGATCAGAGAAGTTGATTAAGTTGCTCAGAGTCAAACAGCATCACCCATGTATATTCTACTCATTCTTCAGTGCTCCAGTCGGAGGTCACCTTCTTCTTGTAACATTTTCTGAGTCCCTCAGACTGGTTGGCTGCCTCCCCTCTCCTCCCTCAATCTCTGGGTGAGCCTCTGAGCTTATCATCATCAGGGTACATACTTCTCCATATTAGAATGACCCATTTTCCCCACTAGAATGTGAGAAATCAGAGGGCAGGGACTGGGTTTTGCTTCCTTTTCTGGGACCCAGAATCCTCATTCATGATACCCAATGGGTGTTCAGTAAATAGATGTGAAAAATAATTTTTTTAATTTTTATTTTTATTCTAAGTTCTGGAGTACATATGCAGGATGTGCAAGTTTGTTACATAGTTAAATGTGTGCCATGGTGGTTTGCTGCACCTATCAGCCCACCATCTAGGTATTAAGTGCAGCATGCATTGGCTAGAAAAATGAAAATGTTTTTAAAACTCAGAAGCTTTGCTAAGTGAGGAGAGAAGAAAAAGAATCTCAGTCCCATCTCCAAAATCGTCAGCTATCATTAACCAAACATTTCAAGAGCTGGACCAGGAGTAGGTTGGTACTCGGGAGGTCAGGGTTTGAGAAGGAACAGCAACAGAATTTCCCCTCCTAATCGTCTCCATCTTATGAACCCCTTACTCTGTAAAGCTGTAAGATCTGGGCTGACTGTTGCCGGCAGGAAAAGCCTGTTTCTGATCATCAGGTACAGTCTCTTTTCATGAGAAGGAACCTGCAAGTGAGAAGCCACCTAGCTTCCAGAACCCAAATACGGGAAAGTTGTTCTCCCTTTCCCCAGTGAACCCCGAAAGTTGGGAGGAGCTGCTCAGCAAAGGAAGGTGACAAAGTGGCCGCCTAGGGTCAGAGGTGGGCCCTTGCCTCTACAAAGGGCTCCAGGTGGAGAAAGATTTCTAACAGCAAATTAACACCATTTCACGAATTGGTTTGCCCATGTCTTGTAGTAAACACAAACTCAGATAACATCAGTCAGGAAGTCTAGGCAGGTGGCTGACATAACCAGTGAGAGCAAACTGAGGTTGAGATCATTCTAGAAACCAGCACTGAGATGTCATCACATCCCTGGACTGGGAAAAGCCATGTTGGTGCAACTTTGAAATGGGCTTGAGATGCAGGGGTCGCCCCAAACAACGTCTTACCTCTCACTCAGCCTTTGCCAATTGCACAAGTAATCCACAATCGATGTAGGACAATTGGCAGATACAGATAAGCAAAACTATAATGCAAATCACACTTTCCCTGTTATCCACAGCTCACTGCAGCAAATTACTTGTGTAGGGAGCTTCAAACTTCCTGCCTCCAGGGGCCAAGCAGGCTTCGTAAGTGGGTAGAGCTGGCTGGACATGTCCTGCCTGAGGCCAGCTAGAGCACAAGTACCCACTCTCTCTAAATGAACGGCAGTGCCTCAGCCCCAGGGGATGCTGCCTGTGGGAAAACCGGCCCAGAGAGAAATTGACAGATAAGACAGAGCTTGTCACTCTACAGAGGAACTAGAAAGCCGAATTTCTGTATTGCAGAATCTTCTGATTATAAAATGTTGGTTTGGGCCATAAAACACAAATCTGAGCCCTCCGTTGTATATAATTTTAGTCTTTTCTTTCCCCTGTAAACATACGTGTGTGTGCGTGTGTGTGTGTGTGTGTGTGTAGTAAAACACAGGCCCAGTTCATAATGCCCCGTAGCTACTGTCCCTGCCTCCGCATGCACCAGCCTGGGTAATCCCAGCGCAGTCATGTTTTTCAACATGATCCCATTCTCTAGGAGGCAATTAGACTGACAAGAGGGGCCTTTCCTTGGGAATTTGGAATAAGGAACAAGACAGATTCAGTGTCTCCTTGTAACTTGGCCTGCAGCATGGAGGGATGGGGCAGGTGCAGCCATGTCCCTCATGGGGACCAGGGGACAGCAGGCACTTCAGGTCCCAGGTGGGTCCTATCAGCTCTCCACTCCCTGTTCTAGCCACTTGCTCAGGCCTGGTGGGTCCCTAAGCCATTCCTGCTTCTTTATCATCAAGTCCTCCTTCTGGTCTGAGTTAGCATGTGTGGACCTCTGCTCCTCGAAAACAGAGTCCCAACTTATACAAGACACAAATATGTAAAAATACATAGATAATTATTTCACATAAATGACATGATATGCTTCCAGATGACCTTTTGGTGCCATCAACCGTCCCCTCCCCCCACCTGGGGAGGCCTTATTTGCAGAGAAAAAGGACAACACCTGCGTCGCTTATGTTTCTTGGAACTTTTCTTCTTCTTTTTCTTGACAGGCGATGGGCTATAGGATGAGGACCTGCCGGGGAGGGAAGACATGCTTCAGAGGGAAGCTCTTAAAGGCCAAGGTTGGTTTCGAAAAGAACTTTCCCCAGTCCCTATATAGAGTTTTATCTCTTTCAGGAACACACATCAAAGGATAATAGCCATGCTGATATTAGCTTGCACTTGTAAGCAGTTTTTAATTGCTCACAAATTTAATTTTACTTTTCATTTAATTTTAATTTTTAACCAAGTTAATGTAAACCATTACCTTGTGTTTTGTAAGCATTATCTCATTCAATCCTTCCACACACTTCTTAAGTAGGTACAATTGTTACCCTCTCTTCTCAGACAAAGAAAGTGAAGTTCAGAGAGGTGAAGTGACTGGCCCAAAGACAAACAGCTAGGAAGCAGATGAGCTAGGATCCCAGTGGTTTTCGCTCTCAGTCACCACAGCACCTCATAGCTGCCTGCCTGGTCAAGCTGGAAAGTCTTCCTTCTGTCTGCTGTTCTTCCTTCACGCTACAACCCTCCTCTCAAATTCTCAGGGTCTCTTGTTTGCCCCATCCTTTGTCTCCCTGGTAAGACTGAGCCCCTGAAGGGCATCTTGCCAGGCTGTCACTGCATGAAGAGTACCATCAAAGGGTTACCTGAGAAACGGAGCCACTCTCAGTCCATGGTGATGACTCAAGACTGAGGCCCAGGTGACCTACATTCCAATCTTGACTCTACTACCAACTCACAGAGTCACCTTGGGCATGTCAAGGCTCGTGTCTAAGTCTCTTATTTCCTTGCCAACAAAAGACCAGGGTTAAACAGATGAGAGGTTGCAAATTCAATGCCAATAGGGCCCTCTCAGATAGCATGAATGGATGAAGCTGGCTGGGTGGAAGACCATGGGGAGTAGTGGGGACTGTGGGGAACCAGAGAAGTTCTGGCTGGAGGGTGTTCTGCTTCTCAGATCAGCTGAAGGGCCTGTGTAGGAATGCAGGTCTGGCCTTCTAGAGCACCTGCCTTTTCTAAAGGAGGCTCCCAAACTCCACATTTTCATATGAAATCTCCTAATTTGGAAATGTTGACCACCACTTAAAAAAAAAATCACTTTGCAGGTTAAACAAAACATGTCTGCAGAGGGGAATGGCTGAGAAACAATTCAGCCTTCAAAGAATCATAACGTTTGTCCCCAGACATATGCTAAGTGAACACGGACTGGATGAATGAGTGAATTAATGAATCTTAATATCTGAGGTTTCCTGTTTTGAAGTATTCTCTGGTCCCCCCCTTCCAATTAGGAAATCCAAAACACTCGCCCCAATTTCATCTCCTACCAGACAATGGCTAGGACTTCATCCACATTTCTCTCTGGGTCCACTTGGAGCCTGTCCTTTTAGAATGAGACTAAGGGGCATCTGTGAAACAAGGTTCCAGAAAACCTGGAGTTGAAGCCCTTCATCAGATGCTGCTCTCTGCTGCCCCCTACAGGTTTCTATAAATACTGCCTCAGAGGTTTGGTATGATTCTCAGTTGGCAGCCCTAAGGGTTAATTAAGCCTGCCCCTCGGGTTGACACACTAGACATGCTTTTAGTGGCATGTTTTTAGTCTAGTTAGTGACAGCCTACAAGCAAAGCTGGAAATCATTTTAAATGTGAAAAAAATTTTAAAGAAATTGGACATAGAAAAAATGCATAGAGTACCAAAGAGTTAATAGTTGGCCAAAACAAAACAAAACAAAAACCCACCTATTATATCCTAGGCATTTAAACAGGAAGGTGGGTGTAGTAAAACCAGCTAAGTACCTGGGATCAAGCCCCTGTAGATCCTGTCACCCCCTCTGTGAGCCTTTATTTTCTCATCTCTAAAATGGGGATAAGAACGCTTTCCTGGTAGACAATGGTCAGAAATAAAAGAGATATGAAGATGGCAATGCTTAGTGTCCTCCTCTGCATCCAGTAAGCTCTCAATAAATAATTCAATACTCATGCTAAAGACGATGCTTCTCATTAATTGGTTATTTACTAGGTGCCAGGTACTGTGACAGCTACTGCCACACGATTTTTTATTTAATTTTCACAAAATCTCAAAAGGTAGGTATTATCACTATTTTGGAGAAGTATAACAAAGCAGGCACGGAGAGGTAAAGTGACTTGCCCAAGGTCACGCAGCTAGTTAAGCATCAGAGAGGGGATTTGAACCCAAGAGGGAGTCACTGTCCGACTTTGAAACCCATATTTTGCCCCTGCCTGCATCTTACAGGTTTCATCTCCCTCCTGGTGCCCTTACCTCCTTCTCTTCTTCCGAGTGGATTTCTTCTTTTTCTTCTTCCCTCTGGAGGAAGGTGGTGGTGTCAAGTCTTTGTCACGAGAGGCACTGTGAGGAGCAAGGAGAGGGGCCTTAGAGAACTCATGGTTCCCCAACTCCACATCCAGAGCTGGTGCCGCCAAGGAAGGAGCCAGTTCCTTGGATGATCAAGGACCCATAGCAGGTGCCTCATGACCGTCTCATGGCTGATTGGGTCACACTTCAGACTAAGTACCTAAATAAGGACTTAATGCCGACCTAATGAGACAGATGTTGTACGTTACCCAGACACCAATTGATTATTAAAAACAGAGTTATAGAGGTTAACTACTCCTTAATAGGTTTATTATTGAATTTGCAAATGGCTCGCCTTGGTAAATAAATCACTTTTTAAATAATTCATCAGCCATTCAGCCCCATCCCTCCCTGTCCGTAGTTCCTGCTGGAAATTTAATAGGAGGCGGAAGGTATGTTAAGTAGCAGCTGATTATTAAAAGTATATTTGCCAAGGTCTAATGTAACGAGATACATATCTTATATTGCCTCGCAGAACCTCAAAAACCTCCGCTTTTCAAGAATAATTATTTCCTGTTCAATTAAATTCAAATGCTGAGGCTGCAGTTAAATGAAGTCAAGTTATCTCCTTTTATAATTGGGTCAGGCTCGGGGGATTTTTTAAAAACACTATCCCATGGCAAAGGAAGATGGTTTTAGATGAAAAACTGCTTTGGGATTGAAACATGCCAACCTAACAGAACCTCACGGGGAAACCAAGATCTTGCTACTAATATTATTGTCATTATTTTAGCAGTGACACAAGCAGCATTTATGCACTTGTTATGTGCCAAGTTTTTTATATATTAGGATACAAACACTTTGAGAATGGTATGACTTTTACTGTCTTATTGTATAGGTAAAGAGACTGAGGCTCAGAAAGTTTAATTAACTTGCGATGGCTACACAATTAGAATGTGTCCAGGCTAGGATTTGAATCAAGGCCTGGGTGATTCCTACCCTGAGATTTTCCCCACAAAACCAGCTGCCTTCCCAAACTTGTTTGTGTGGCCCATCATCTGGAAATTACCCAACTTTTTGTAGACTATCATAAAATACTGCTGTATTTAATTCCACTTTAAGAATCTCGGTCATTATATTTAGTAGAAAGAATGATAAAATGATTAGAATACATGTCAGGTCTCGTATCTCCAGCAAATAAGAATCATATAGCTATGTTTATAATATTTTGATGAGAGTCACTTTTTTTAAAATTACCAGATGTCATTTTATTTAAACAGCTGGAGGAGGGACTATTTATCTTATTGAGCTTTTCTACTGATTTGCTTTCCTAAATGTGGAACTTGTGATATGCTATTTTAAAAAATTTTTTTATTTTAATTTTTTATGTTTCAGAGTACACATGCAAGACCTGCAGGTTTGTTACATAGATAAACATGTGCTGCGGTGGTTTTCTGCACCTATCAACCAGTCACCTAGGTATTAAGCCCAGCATGCATTAGCTCTTTTCCCTAATGCTCTTCCTCAGCTCCCACTCTCTAATTGACAGGCCCTGGTGTGTGATGTTCCCCTCCCTGTGTCCATGTGTTCTCACTGTTGAGCTCTCACTTATAAGTGAGAACAGGCAGTGTTTGGTTTTCTGTTCTTGCATTAGTTTGCAGAGGATAATAGCTTCTAGCTTCATCCACATCTCTGCAAAGAACATGATCTTGTTCCTCTTTACGGCTGCATAGTATTCCATGGTGTATATGTACCACATTTTCTTTATCCAATCTATCATTGATGGGCATTTGGGTTCATTCATGTCTTTGCTATTGTGAATAGTGCTTCAGTGAACATATTCATGCATGTATCTTTATAATAGAATGATTTATATTCTTTTGGGTATATATCCGGTAATGGGATTGCTGGGTCAAATGGTATTTCTGGTTCTAGGTCTTTGAGGAACCACTGTCATCCACAATGGTTGAACTAATTTACATTCCCACGAATAGTGTAAAAGCATTCCTATTTCTCCACAACCTCACCAGCATCTATTGTTTCTTGACTTTTTAATAATTGCCATTCTGACTGGCGTGAGATGGTATCTTATTGTGGTTTTGATTTGTGTTTCTAAGACAGCCCCTTTTAACCTTAAAAATAAATATCATAGGAATTAAGTGCTTAGCTACTTAACTACACTTACATGGTATAAAGCACAGGGCACAGTATGCATGTCCAGGAAGCAAACAGGACACTTGTGTAAACAGGGTGAGCTACCCCCATTTTTTTTTGAGACAGTTTTATTCTGTTGCCCAGGCTGGAATGCAGTGGCATGATTTCAGCTCACTGCAACCTCCATTTCCTGGGTTCAAGTGATTCTCCTGCCTCAGCCTCCCTAGTAGCTGTGACTACAGGTGCCCACCACCGTGCCAGGCTAATTTTTGTATTTTTTAAAGTAGAGACGGGGTTTCCCCATGTTGGCCAGGCTGGTCTTGAACTCCTGATCCCAGGTGATCCACCCACCTCGGCCTCCCAAAGTGTTGGGATTATGGGCACGAGCCACCGTGCCCGGCCACCAAATTCTTTCCTTAAAGAGTGCTTGAACAGAGCAAAACCCTAATCAATATTTGTTCAGTGACCAAACAAGGGAATAAATGAATGAAATAATTTAGCTCCTTGTTAAATCATCTTGTTTCATATAAACACTTCCCAAGTGCAACAGCTACTGGGAATCTGAGAGGGGAAGGAAATGAAAGGAGACATACTCGAGGCGGGGGAAAAAAACGCCTTAAAAGTGTGTCTTATAAAATGAGAAAAGAGCCTATTGTTTCAGTCAACTACTGTAACTTCTGGAATCCCAGGGATCCAGGGGAACACGATTTGAGAACATTGTTCTTAATTGGCATTTAAATAATGGGGTAAAACTCAGAAAGCCCTCCACTTTGGAGACATTTGAGGTCTGTGAGGTGGGGATCATCAACCCCCCTGAATAACTCCCAAATGCCTTTATCCAGGTATGCCTACATTTCTTCTTCCTGCTTGTCTTCCCTACCCAATTCTATATGTACCATGATAGAGGACCAGGAAGAGGCAGAATAGCGGAGAAGCACACCCTGGTTACGTGTGCAGGGGTTAAGTACATCATGCTTGTGTATGCTCCGGTTACATATGCATGGCTGTATACAGTGATGAAACGTACAACAATTCAGTAAGCCCATCAGTTGAGTACGCAGTGGTTACACGTGCAGCCGTTAAGTCTGTAGTGGTTAAACATGTGGTGGTTAAGCACACGTTGGGGAAGTAGCAGAGGTTAACTATGCCGTGGTTAAGTGCTCAGTGGTGACGTACACAGTGGCCAAACACACATCGATTAAATATGCAGTGCTCAAAACACAGTGATTACATATGCAGTAAAGCATGCAGCAGTAAGGAATGCTGGTCCAGAAGCTGACGAACCTAGATTTAAAGACCAGCTCTCTTACTTCCCACAGGGCTCAGCGACCTCTCTGAGTCTCATCTTGATCATCAACAAGATGGGAAGAAACATGGTACCTGTGTCCTAAGTTTGCTGCCAGGATTGAAGGAGCTGACCTAGGTAATGTGCCTTGGTCTGGCATAGAGTAAGAGCACAGTAAAAGGGGTTTCTGTTATTATAATTATAATAAATGCATTATATTGGCATTTAAGTAATGGGGTAAAACTCAGAAAGCCCTCGAATTTGGAGACATTTGACGTCTGCGAGGTGGGGATCATCAACCCCCTCATAAATCCCAAATGCCTTTACCCAGGTAGGCCTACATTTCTTCTGCCCCCCTTCCTCCCTACCCTTGTTCTACGTGTATCATCATAGAGGGTCAGGAAGGGGCAGAATAGCAGTGAAGCCCACCCTCGTTACAGATTTATTACATAATAATTAAACTATTATATACTTTATGATTACTCATTATCACTGTTAATATCGTTATCATCATTATTGTGGTTTTGTCACATCAGTCAGTCACAGATAGAAGGAACCAAGAAGCATAGACGCCATGTAAAAGAGTACAACACCTCTACAGTAGAGACACTGTACAGCCTGGCATCATTTTTTCAGATTTTCATGGCCAGAATCTTCTCTTCTGGCTTCATGAGACCCTAACTAACATATTTTAGGATTTCCTAGGCTCTAGTCTCACTGCCACAATGTGTGCCTTCCTGGTCTAACTTACTCCTCATCCTGACCTTGAGAATGGCATCTCAACGTCCCCATTTTATATCTGGGAACACTGAGGCCCATGGAGGAAAAGAAACTTGCACAAGGTTGCACGGTTCACAAGCGGCACGGTCCAGATTTGTACACGCAGATTCCGTCTAGGAGACAATGCTTTTTATTTTTCATTTTGAGACTGAGTCTTGCTCTGTCACCCAGGCTGGAGTGCAGTGGTGCGATCTCGGCTCACTGCAACTTCCTCCTCCTGGGTTCAAGCATTTCTCCTGCCTCAACCTCCAGAGTAGCTGAGATTACAGGCGCCTGCCACCACACCTGGCTAATTTTTGTATTTTTAGCCGAGACGCGGGTTTCACCATGTTGACCAGGCTGGTCTCCAACTCCTGACCTCAAGTGATCCTCCCACCTCGGCCTCCCAAAGTGTTGAAATTACAGGCGTGAGCCACCGCACCCAGCCCAATGTTTTAAAAGTAGGGAAATTCCCTTTCTCCTCCCTTCTCTCCTTGTCTCCCTTTGCCTATCATGGAAACAACTTTCTTCCTGTTTCCTGGAGAGAACACCCCAGACATGAGGTTGAACTTCACTTCTCCAAGTTGATAGGGCTGAACTGTTTCTCTCTTTGAAATTGCAGCCTAGCTAAAGCCTGGAGCTGGGAGGGCAGCCTAGGTGGCAGGGTAGACGTCGTTCTTGAAAATTACTCCACTTAACTCCCACTTATAAGAACTTATGAACACAAAGAAGGAGACAACAGACACTGGGGCTCCACTTGAGGAGGGAGGGTGGGAGGAGGGACAGGAGCAGAATAGGTAACTATTGGGTACTGGGCTTGATACCTGGGTGATAAAATATTATGTACAACAAACTCCGTGACACGTGTTTACCTATGCAGTACACATTCACGTGTAACCCCAAACCTAAAATAAAAGTTAAAACATAATGAATTTTAAAAAATTACTCCAGTTTCCCAAGCCACTTCTCCAAAATTCAGTAATCACATCTAGAATTAGATTTTCCAGAGGCCAAAGATGGGCCATGCTTTATAAGTGTATGCTGCAAAATTGAAAAATAGGAGGCAGAGATAATTTTTTTTTCATGAGCACCCATAGGATAATGGAGTGGGTTTTAGTCGTGGATTTAAGATCAGAGATACTGGAGTTTAAAACTTTTCTCTGCCACTTACTGACTGTCATATTCTGGGCAACTCACTTTACCTCTCCCAGCCTCAGTAAAATGCTGAGTATCCAGTATTTTTATAGAGTGTGTGTATACGGTGTTCTCTGTATATGTGTGCTAGCACAGCACCCATCACACTGTGAATGCTCAAAAAGTACTGGTTAAATAACTGAGTAAAAGAGAAAATACAAAGATCCAAAACCCCTGAGACAGGTCTGGGCTGAAACTATGATTTGGGAGTGAGTGGCTCATAGAGCCATTTAAACGGAAAAGAACTCTATCATTTAAGTTAGGACTTACTGAACTACAGCCAGTGGGCCAATTTAGCCTGCCTCCTGCTTTTATAAATATAATTTTATTGGAACACAGATATGCTTTTTTTTGTTTGCATAATGCCTGTGGCTGTTGTTGAACTACAAGGACAGAAACCACTGGGTCTACACACTTAAGATATTTACGATGTGTTCCTCTACAGTAAATATTTGCTAGCCCTTGATTTAAGGGTTTGAAAGAGGAACTTGCAAAAGAGAGAGGGGAGCCATGGCCAGAAAGGCAGACTTTATTTCCATATCTTCAACCTGAATGTCCCCATTGGATCTCACCTGTGTGCTCTCATGGCATCCAGTTCCCGACAGCCCTTGTCTCTCTCCCAGCTGTTGGTGCCCAAGGCCTCGTTGGCCAGACGCTGATCCAGCTTTTCTGAGGGGCCATCCTGAGGTGGGATCACGGGGCTATTCTGGGGCTCTGTCCTACAGAGGAAGAAATAAGGACACAAAAGTGTTAGGCTATACAGAAACGCTTAATGTTCATTAAATATTCATAGAATTCCTAGTATTTCGCAGCTTCCCTTGCAGTTAGGTTGAGCTCATGAGATTATCTTTGGCCAATGGTCTCTAAGCAGGAGAGAAGACAGGTAATTTCCAGTTCAAGGTAATCAAGACCCACGTGCCTTCTCCACCTCTCTCTTCCTCTGTCATAGTGACTTTAGAGTACACACATTCTGAAAGGTGAAACTATTTGATGGAGGAAAGACACCTGAACCACATCGGATTTTACAAGAGAGAAATAAACGGAAATTATGCTAAACCACTCTGCTGTAGGTTTATTTGTTACAGCAGCATAGCATATTCTATTTGGACTAAATTAGAGAGAGATGCTGGAAACCAGCATTTCACTTCCTTTCTCAAGAGGTAATGAGAGGTCAAAGCATGATAGGATTTGTGTAAATTCCCCTTTGCCATTTCTATTCCTTTTCTCTGCCTTATTTCTGTATGAACCACATGTATGAAAATTCACATAGTCTTAACAGTTTAGGGGCTAGAGCATCTGGGACCAGTCACAACATCGCTGAGTTGCAGTTTCTTCAGTTATAAAATAGTGAATAGTGGCAGGGCGTGGTGGCTCACACCTGTAATCTCAGCACTTTGCAAGACTGAGGTGGGTAGATTATGAGGTCAGGAGTTCAAGACCAGCCTGGCTAAGATGGTGAAACCCCGTCTCTACTAAAAATACCACAATTACCCAGGTGTGGTGGCGGGTGCCTATAATCCCAGCTACTCAAGAGGTTGAGGTAGAGAATTGCTTGAACCCAGGAGGTGGAGGTAGCAGTGAGCTGAGATCCCATCACTGCATTCCAGCCTGGGCGACAAGTGAGACTCCTCAAAAAAAAAAAAAAAAAAAAAAATAGTGACTAGTATCAATTCATGTATTGCTGAGCTATTGTGAAGATAAAATGAGATCAAATATATAAGCAGAAAGGCCTCAAAAGTGTCAGTTTCCTTTGCTTTTACTTCCTTGTAAATAAAATCTCTAACCTGATGTCCTTAAATGATATGAGTCACCCACTTGAGACAGCAGTTCCCATGATGGTCTGAAGTCCCCTCCTCTGCCACTGACACAGGCTGCAGAGAGTACACAGGCTGCAGAGCCTATGAGTCCCACTTCTTCATGGGAGTTCCTGAGAGGGCAAAGAACTTGCCTGGTTACTTGGCCTTTGAAGAGACTGTCAGGCAAGTTCCTGGCTCTTAACTAGGAAGAGTAAGGAGTTTGAGAGTCACAGGTGTCTTTGGTGCCATGCAGTGAGGATCCCTCCCTGCTCGCCCTGCCTTCAGGCCCCAGGTCAAGCATGGATCAAAGGCATTAGCGTGTCTCATGTGCCAGCCTCCTGCATCAGTGCATCGAGATTGGGTTTATGAGTCAGGATGAATGCATCTGATAAGCCCCCTGCTCCTTAGGGCTTCTAAGAGAGCAAACCAAGCCCAGTCAATATTGAAGGAAGGGCAGCAAAACACATCCATCTCTGTCAGCCACTTATGAGTGCATCTTTAGAAGCGGAGCTGGTAGACACTGTGAGCCCTGGAGGGATGGAGAGTCTAATTAGTGCTTCTCAGTCCTTCTCACTGCCAACTCTGTGCTTCCAGAACTCCCTTCCATCCCACTCAGCCTCAGTTTTCCCTAAATCTCCCTGCTGTGGGTGTTACTTTTCCATGCCTTTACTTCTGCCCATCTATCCCTGAGAAGTGTTGTCCTGCATTTTGTCACACAACAAAGCTTCTGTCTTCTCCCTAACACCCAGCAAGGCTTGCCTCTTCCCATACTTGTCCTGGCCTAGGGTAACCTGCATTCATTAACTCCAATTTCCTGAGTGCCTATAATGTATCCAGGCCAGTTTTATGTGTGGAGACACGGTGAACAAGACAGAGATGTCTCCTGCAATTATGGAATGTTTGCATTCTAGATGGAGGAATAGATAATAAACACATAAGCAAGGAAAAATATGGCTTATTGAATGGTAACATATTTTTTTTTTTTGAGACAGTCTCACTGTGTTGCCCAGGATGGAGTGCAGTGGCACAATCACAGCTCACTATAGCCTTGAACTCCTGGGCTCAAGTGAACCTCTGACCTCAGCCTCCCAAGTAGCTGGGACCCAGCGTTTTTTTTTTTTTTCTTTTTGTAGAGACAGGGTGCCACTGTCTTGCTCAAACTGGTCTTGAACTCCTGGGCTCAAGCAATCCTCCTGACTTGGCCTCCCAAAGTGCTGGGATTACAGGTGTGAGCCACCATTTTCAGCTGAATGGTAATAGATTTTGATGTGAATAAAGCAGCCTACAGAGCTAGGAAATGGGAGGAGTGGCTGCTATTTTGTATACAATAATCAGTGAAGTCTTTCCTGAGGAGCAGCAAGGGAGTGGAGACTATAAGGATTCAGGACTTATCTTAAAGTTTGGGTGGTTTAGAATATGTTCATAGATTCTTTGACGTTCTTGTCATCAAAAGACCAAAAGATGGAACTTAATTTATATCCCCTTGAATATTGGATGGGCTTACTGACTCACATTTAATGAACAGAATGTGGTAGAAGTAATAATGTATAACCCTGAAGACTTGGTCACAAAAAGGTAGCTTCTGCCTTGCTCTCTTGGATTGAATATTCTGGTGGAAGACAGCCATCATATTGTGAGGACACTCAAGCAGCCATATGGAGAGGCCCAGGTGAAGAACAACTGAGGCCTCATGCCAACAACCAGCACCAACTTGTCAGCCCTATGAGTGAGCCACCTTGGAAGTGGATTCTCCAGCTCCAGTCAAGCCTTCAGATGAGATTGCAAACCTGGTTGACATCTAACCACAGCTCCATGAGAGATGGTGAACCAGAACCACTCAGCCAAATTCCCGAGTCACAGAAACTATGAACCATAATAACTGTTTATTGTTGTTTTCAGCCAAAAGATTTGGGATAATTTGTTACACAGTTATACATAGCTTCTACGCAGGTATCTGCTGGAAGTGAGAAGTGTGCCCTAGGCAGAAGGAATAGCAAGTCCAAAAATTGTTAGCACATATAAGGAACAGCGGCTGGGCGCAGTGGTTCATGCCTGTCATCCCAGCACTTTGGAAGGCCAAGGAAAGTGGATCACTTAAGGTTAGGAGTTCAAGACCAGCCTGGCCAATATGGTGAAACCCTGTCTCTACAAAAAATAGAACAATAAGCTGGTGTGGTGGCCCACGTCTGTAATCCCAGCTACTCAGGAGACTGAGGTTGGAGAATTGCTTGAATCTAGGAGGCAGAGGTTGCAGTGAGCTGAGATTGTGGCACTACACTCCAGCCCGAGTGACAGAATGAGGCTCTGTTTCAAATAATAATAATCATCATCATCATAATAAAGAACAGCAAGCAAGGGCTAGAGTGGCAAGAGGCGAGATCAGGGATCAGGTCATGGGAAAACCTTTGAGGCTCTGTAGCTGAGATGGGAGAGGAGTCTTTGGAACAGGAGTGATAGGGTCTGGATTACATTTGAGAAAGATCACTCTAGTGGTTGAGGGATACAAGGCTGAAGGGAGAGAAGGGCAGAGATGGTGAAATGGTTGCAATAGTCCTGGCTCTGATAAGTGTAGTAGCAATGGAAACAGGGATGAGCTGTGGTCTGATTCTAACAAATTTTGAAAGTAGTACTGACATGATTTGCTGCTGACTAAATGTGAGAAGTAAGGGAGTAAGACAGGAGGAGGAGTCAAGGATGACTCCAAGGTTTTGAGCCTGAGCAACTAGAGGGATGGAGTTAACATTGAGGAGATAGAGAAGGTAGAGTAGGGAGCAAGCTTTTGGGGAGATCTATCCCCTTTTCTAGGATGTGGTATTCCTTTGCTCCCCTACCAGCAGCTCTTTTTTTTTTTTTTTTTTTTTCAATAAGATGTAGTCTCACTCTGTAGCCCAGGCTGAAGTGCAGTGGTGTGATCTTGGCTTGCTGCAACTTCCGCCTCCCGGGTCCCAGTTCAAGCAATTCTCCTACCTCAGCCTCCCAAGTAGCTGGGATTACAGGCATCAGCCACCATGCCCAGATAATTTTTGTATTTTCTAGTAGAGATGGGGTTTCACCATGTTGGCAAGTCTGGTCTCGAACTCCTGACCATGTGATCTGCCTGCCTTGGCCTCCTGAGGTGGTGGGATTATAGGCGTGAGCCACTGCACCCAGCCCAGCAGCTCTTAATAATATGTTGCTGTCATTTAGTTGTCTTCTATCAAACTAGACTATGAGCTCCCGAGAGTGGGACTATGTCTTACTGCCCCAGAGCCTGCTGCTTAGTGAACCTTTAGGAATGTTTTTTCAATGAACCAATAAAAGAGCTAACAAATTGGCCAAAGAGAACATTGTTTCAAAAAGTTAGAAAGTGCTTTTGAGATGCTTCGGACTAATTTCCTAAGGTTATAGTTGGTGGAAATGGAGTCTCAGAGAGGGCCAATAACTCAGCCAATGCTTCAGTCTACTGACTGCTCAACCCATGTCTTCTCTGTTCAGCCTCATATGTCCCTTAGAAAGGGTCAGTGAGCTTATTGATTTGTGTGTATTGTCCAGCAAAGCCTTGACACATAAGATAGTTCACTTCTGAGATGGCTCACTCATATGGCTGGCAAGCTGGTGCTGGCTGTTGGCAGAAGACCTTAGTTCTTCACATGGGCCTCTCCATATGGCTGCTTGAGTATCCTCACAACATGGCGGCTGGCTTCCCTCAGAATAATCAGTTCAAGAAAGCAAGGCCAAAGCTGCCTTTTGTGACCAATTGTTGTAAGTCACACATTATTATTATGTCAAGGTGGAGACACATGGTACTGGTACCACACGGTACTAGATCAATGGAAAAGAACAGAGGCCTCAGAAAAAATGATACACAACTACAACCATTTGATCTTTGACAAACCAGACAAAAACAAACAATGGGGAAAGGATTCCCTATTTAATAAATGATA